CACACACACACACACACACACACACACACACACACACACACACACACACACACACACACACACACACACAGCGCGCGCGAACAAGTCCTTGTCAGATGCTGCAGCAGCAATCGCACCTTCGTTAGTCAGCAGCGCTCAGAGTAGATGTCTGCATCCTCAGTTGATTCCCCGCGGTCGAAGCCAATCGCTTCCGACCATAAGGGTCGGTATTCCGTGCGACAGTACACCGGGCCCGTCCTAGCGACCTGTCGCGAGGCCTCTCAGTTGTGTTGAAACGACTCCTCCTAAGACATTTTCCTCATTTATCTTCTCTTTAAAAAGTCACAGCAGAACCTTTTAGGTCTCTTCTTTTACTGGCCACTCAGTGCGTATTCCTCTTCTTCACCCCCCACCCCACCCTGCACGCCATTTAATCTTTCTCGAGACAGTTGTCAGCTGTCAGGCTCAGGGCAGTTTGGCAATGCAAGACTGGTCTGTTCAGGCACAGGGTCACAAGTGGCTAGTTGATACTGAACTATTCTAAAGCCAGCTTGTCGGTGAGAGAGAGGGAGAGAGGGGTTCATTCACCACGTCATCTTCACTACCGGGGAGGGGAAACGGATTTCACTGCCTCAGTCAACCAATGGCGAGCCTCCGCCCCTTGCTCTGGCCCCGTCTGCAGGCTCTGTTTACTTCACTTTTATGTCAGTGGGTCTGCTAAGTAGATATGCTGGCATACACAGATGCGCGCGCGCGGTTTACGTTCACGCGTGCAGAAACCACTCCAAAGTCAAGAATACAGCGATGCTGATCCAGTTCTTGTTTCTGTTATCAAGAGTAAGGCTGCAATATGCAGACGAGATAGCCCAAACTCTATGGACCATATATGCATTTTAATTCACTATTTAGACTGTTAATGCATTTAAAGCGTATTTAAGGAAACATGTCAGCAGTGACAGCACGCTAAAAGTCTCTGCTGCTGACATCAGATTAAGAGGCCTCTACTATTCTTTAATATGGTTTTGGGGGTGTACGAGACTAGCTTCATAGGTCCTGTTTATAAAAATAATAATAATAATTCTGAACGTGATTGGTGTTCATGTTCATACTAGTTTTAATTCAATTACGCAGCTATTATAGTGAATCTAGACGAGTTAAAGTATCTTTCATCTCCTTTGAATTCAAATTTATTCCAACACTCAGCAACACTAAGCGTTCGGGAGTACCTGCTTACAGCCTATATTTCTGACAGAGCTCATTTGAGTTGTGTATTCGTAGTTTTATAATACGACGCAGCGCATGATTCGGCTAACGAAGCAGCGGTCCGCATCTCCACATATGCATATAAATCTCAACATTATAGTTTTGTGTAGGTTTTATTCAGGTCTATATTTATTAAAGCAGGAAACATTGCACCCACATTTTGGTTGCAAGTGTTTAAAAATTTCAGTCCTCACTGCTTACTGAAAATGTAGTTATTTATATATTTATTTCTTTATTACGCAAATAACCGTTTTTTTTAGCGCATATGAATAAAACGTTAACGCGATGTAGTTAAATTTAAACACACTGAAATGCATTTAAGTTCATATTTTTTCTGATCTATAATTAAAGAAATTCATTTCGTTTACCGAACCACTGAAGGTCTCAATATTATTATTATTAATTAATTAAGTAATTAATTAATTAACAGTAATCTCTTAATGTATCTCATTGTAAATAAACAGCCGGTAAAATATCAGGGCGAGGTGACTGTGACTGGACCCAAAGACGCGGCCTTTCCCAAAGAATGCAAATGGAGAGATCAATAAAAAACAAAGTCCCTCTTTTTTGGTTGTGAGTTGGGCTCTAAGAGGTCCACATCTTTATTAATTCTCTTTATTTGCCAGCGAAGTTCAGAGTCATCAATGAATCTGAACTTCGCTGCCGTTCATCAATCATTTAAAGAAAACGCTATATACAACATCTGAATATGTACACGCAATTTACCGCTATTTTTTAAATAGTTATTTATTTATTTACTTTATCTGAAGAGAGACAGTGGGGGTGGGGGCTTTGTGTGTGCGTTCAGTACTCAAGGCTGTGGAAACGCGTGAAATAAACACCTGAAATAAAATGAACTGGTTAACTGGGTGGGGCTACTGTCAAATGATTAATTTAAAATACTTGGAAAATCTTGCTGGCAATATAAATTTGGAAGCAACTTGAGATAATTGTAAGATTGTAACTGTAAGATCTCTAACAACATTTTCAAGACTCGCAACATCTCACTCAAGGACTGTGATGCAGACACATACACATCATTGAAATCCACTGACTTCATGCGTGTGTGCCTGAATGCTTAAACGTTAACCTCCACTAGACCACTACTTACTTAGTTGAAGTAAGGTCGTTGTTAATGATTTCTGGCGCTGTAAAATGAAATGTTTTGGAGTCCCAGCAACACAGTAAGAAAATAGCAGCGGCACTGCGCAGCAACATGTTGCAGTGAAGGTCTTTTCCTTCTTTGTGACCATAAAGTAAACAGACACAAGAAGGAAACGAACTGTGTGTGTCTAATATGCATATAACACACTAGCACACTCTTTTTGTTGACAGTCGCGATTCGATACTGTTGCTCAGGTTCATTTCACGAGTGTGAACAATGGCTGTGAAATTAGGAGTTGCCCATGCTTGCTTCCTGGCAACCTCATAAAATGGAAAACGCTGAGTTGTGACAATAACTTTCCTTATTTAACCCAAACTATGACCTTTCATAAATGTAACCAAGCAGTTGAACCAATGAGCCTGAGAAAACTAAATTCCATTTGAGAATAACATAAAAACGATGACACATTTAAAGAGTTTTTAAAAACAGAATTTCTAAAAACACAGCTATTGTTCCATTGATTTGACTTTCATGGAGGTAATTCCATCTATATGACACTTTAAGGGCAAGTTTGTAGTTTATTTCAACGTTCAGTAAGTTTTGCTTATCAGTTTAGTGTTTTATAGTTTTTATTAGTTTCTTTGTAAAGCCAGTCATTTACAGTCTAGCGTAACTTTTCATTTCCCCAACTCTCTACAACAGCGTTGGAGAGAAAGCCATACAGGATAAAAATGATGTGTTCTGGTGGCAGAGACGAGGTTTTAGAGGCTAAACAGGAATCAGTGTTGGCGATGGGGCTATAAGACTGGACAACTTGGGAAACACTGTAATATGTTTGCTGTAGTCTTTCCTGTCAGCAGCGTAGCAACAGGTGTGCCATTTGGTATGTGAAATGGAGTGTTACAATGTTTCCAGTCTTACTGTGCAAATGAGTTGAAAGTGCAAATGTTGTATGAAGGATTTGATGGTTTGATTCTGATTATATGAAACTATTATTAATGGTAACAAAAGTGTAATTTTATGAAAAGATACTTCAAACTAATGTCTGCTTCAGAGTAAAAGATCTTTGCCAACGGTTGTATCTCTGCTAGACTGTGCAGAAGACAGAGTTAAGGAGAAAATGGGGGTTGCAGAATGTGCAGAGGAATTCTCTGTGAGGAAGGCATATGATTTATATTTGTTTAAGTGCTGAATGGAGCTGATTCTATGTGTGTGCGTGTGTGCGTGAGTGTGTGCATGTGCATCGTCCTGCTCTGTGTAATCCATCTATGTGAATGGGAGCTGTTGCAGTAATTTAGATCAGTTTGTCTCCTGATAATGATACATAATTAGACTGTAGGTCAGTCGGTCAGACTCCTGATCTCTCCCTCTCTATATATCCTTCTCTCTCTCTCTCTTTCACACACAGACACATGCAACCATGCACACATGCACACATCTATCCCCCTATATGCCCTCTTCTCTGATCTTAGTCATTCCTCCTTTGTATAAATAAATCTGACAGAGTAGCAGGGTTATGTGTCTGTGTGTGAAAGAAAGAGAGCGAGGTGGAGGCAGGGAGGGGGAAGGGGCAGAGAGGAAGACGGAGAGAGAGTAAAGCTATGTGTGTGTGTCAGGCTGATGATGTGCAGGTACATTCCAGAGCAGCGGAAGTTCCTTTTCAGAGTAAAGTGTTGTTGTTACCTGGGCTCACACCTACATGCAGTTCTGTAGGTAACCGTGTGCTGAGCTTTGCACAGATTAATATAATGGTTCGGTACAACAACATGAATTCTCGTTTAAAATTAATAGGACAAAAATGCAAATTTCATAACAAGACAGACTCACACAGCTGCTAATGAAAATAAAGACATCTTTATTTAATCAAGATATATTTAGATGCATATTTTAGACGTGATTTTCTAAAATCTTAGCTGTGTAACAATACATTTTCAAATTATTGTTAATATGATTAAAACTGGCTTAAAGCTTTAACTTGACAGACTGACCAAAAATATTGTATATTGTATTATTTTTTTATTTTTTAGCCACAGTTAACTTTTCAGCATCTCTTGGACAATCAAGCAAAGGCCTTTTTTGGAGACTATTTCTTAATTCTTCAGTGGTCTGATGATTTAAAGTATTTACATTTGAAACCCAAAACATCCAAATTCACTCTCAGTGCCAGTGAAACAGACCATCCTTAAGGTGCAACAAATAAACAAGTCCACGCGAGAACATTCAACCAAACAAGGATTATGCTTTTTAAGAGGTAGACACACTGTTGAAGTGGACCATAAAGACAAGACTTCACACAGAAAGTCCTCCCCATGTTGTCAGCGCCATAGAGAACAAAGAGATGGTTAATCTAAAGGATTACAGGTTTTGTAAAACTGCACAGGTTGAAACTGTGAAAAGGACGTGATATGAAAACAGAGCAGGGGCATTCTCAGTCATGTGAGAAAACAGCAAAAAACACCATGATACACTTTTTACGTACACTCACATGGTCAATAAATAAATAAATAAATAACAGGGTCTTGTTTGATAGGTAGGCAGAGATGCAAATCACCACATCAATAGATTGATAATAATCACTAACATATGTGTAACCTTTGTCTC